GTGTACGAGGTACTAACGAAACAATGGATTAAAATGTAATCCTAACTAAGTGTTAGACAGTAACAAAAAAATCGATTGAAATGTAATCCTTAGCGTGTGCAAAATACTAACAAAACAATCGATTAAAATATAGTCCAGTGTGTGTACGAGATACTAATGAAACAATGGATTAAAATGTAATCCTAACTGAGCGTTCGATGGTAACGAAAAATTCGATTGAAAAGTAATGCTTAGTGTGCGCTAGATATTAATCAAACAGTAGAGTAAAATGTAATCGCGAGTGTGCACGAGATACTAACGAAACATAATATTCAAGTGTAATCGCATCTGAGAGCTAGATATAGACAAAACAATCGAGTAACACAAAATCCTTCGTATGCACTAGATAGTAACCAAACAATAGAATAAAATGTAATCCTAGGTGCGCACAGGATACTAACGAAACAATCCGATTGATATGAAATTCTAAGCGTGCACTAGATACTAACAAAACAAACGATGGAAATGTAATCCTAAGTGCACACGAGATACTGATGAAATAATCCAATCGAAATGTAATTCTAAGTTTGCGCAATATAAGAATTAAATTATTATTATTATTATTAGATACCAACGAAACAATCGATTGAAATGTAATCCTCTGTGTGCGCGAGATACTAACAAGACAATCAATTAAAATGTAATGCTATGTGTGCGCAAGATACTAACGAAACAATCGATTGAAAGTAATCGTAAGTGCACGCGAGATACTAACAAAACAATCGATTAAAATGTAATCGTACGTGTGTGTAAGACACTAACGAAACAAGCAATGGAAATGTAAGACTATGTGTGTGTAAGATACTAACGAAACAATCGATTGAAATGTAATCTTACATAAGTGGAAGATACTTACGAAACAAGATTGAAATGTAATCCTAAATTTGTGCGAGATAGTAAGGAAACATAAGATTCAAATGTAAGTAATCCTAACTGAGCGCTACCTACTAACGAAACAATTTTTTGAAATGTAATCCTATGTGTGAGCTAGATAGTAACCAAACAATAGATTCAAATGTAATCCTAAGCGCACGCGAGATACTAACAAAACGATCGATTAAAATGTAATCCTATGTGTGCGCAAGACACTAACGAAACAAGCAATGGAAATGTAAGACTACGTGTGCGCAAAATACTAACTAAACAATCAATTGAAATGTAATCCTAATTGTGAGCTAGATAGTAACCAAACAATAGATTCAAATGTAATCCGAAGAATGCGCGAGATACTAACAAAACAATCTATTGAAATGTAATCCTATGTGTTCGCTAGACACTAACAAAACAAGCAATGGAAATGTAAGACTATGTGTGCGCAAGAAACTAACGAAACAATCGATTGAAATGTAATCCTAAGTATGCGGTAGATGCTAACGAAACAATCGAATGAAATGTGATCCTAAGTGTGCGCAAGTTAATATCGAAACAATTGATTCAAATGTAATCTCAAGTGTGCGCTAGATACTAACGAAACAATCGAATGAAAGTGAATTAAATGAAATGTAATCGAATGAAATGCAATCGAATGAAATGTAATCCTAAGAGTGTGTGAGATATAAACGAAACAATTAATTGAGATAATCGAAAGAGTGAGTAAGATTATAACAGAAAAATTGGATGAAAGTGAATCCCAAGAGTATTTGAAAAACTGGGGAAACGGTCCTGAGAGTGCGCGAGATACTAACGAAACAAAGAAATAAATGAAAGTGAATTCTTAGAGTAGGTAAGATGCTCACGAAACAGTGAAATACAATGTAACCCAACGAGTGACGAGATAGCAATGAAACAATGGAATGAAGGTTAATCCTAAAAGTGATTTCTAAAAGCGCACGATATACATACGATATCTAACGAAACAAGCAAATGAAATGTTATTCTAAGAGTGCACGCGGCATATACGAAACAGTTGATTGAAAGTGAATCCTAATAGCGCACGAGACACTAACGAGACAGCCGAATGAAATGTAAAGCTAGGAGTGCAAGCCACACTAACAAAAAATGGAATGGAAGCGAATCATAGGAGTACGCTAAATTCTAATATAATAATCGAATAGAATGTAATGTTGGGAGTGCACGCGATGGTAACGAATCAATGGAATGAAATAGAATCCTAGGGGTCCACGAGATAAATGTCAGGAATCACAATGGAAAGAACGTGAATCTTAAGGGTGTGTTGTAAATGACACAATGGAATGAGAGTGAATCCTACGGATACATGAGATGTAAATGACACAATGGAATGAGAGTGAATCCTACGGATACATGAGATGTAAATGACACAATGGAATGAGAGTGAATCCTACGGATACATGAGATGTAAATGACACAATGGAATGAGAGTGAATCCTACGGATACATGAGATGTAAATGACACAATGGAATGAGAGTGAATCCTACTGATACATGAGATGTAAATGACACAATGGAATGAGAGTGAATCCTACGGATACATGAGATGTAAATGACACAATGGAATGAGAGTGAATCCTACGGATACATGAGATGTAAATGACACAATGGAATGAGAGTGAATCCTACGGATACATGAGATGTAAATGACACAATGGAATGAGAGTGAATCCTACGGATACATGAGATGTAAATGACACAATGGAATGAGAGTGAATCCTACGGATACATGAGATGTAAATGACACAATGGAATGAGAGTGAATCCTACGGATACATGAGATGTAAATGACACAATGGAATGAGAGTGAATCCTACGGATACATGAGATGTAAATGACACAATGGAATGAGAGTGAATCCTACTGATACATGAGATGTAAATGACACAATGGAATGAGAGTGAATCCTGCGAATACATGAGATATAAATGTCACAATGGAATGAGAGTGAATCCTACGGATACGGATACATGAGATGTAAATGACACAATGGAATGAGAGTGAATCGTACGGATACATGAGATGTAAATGACACAATGGAATGAGAGTGAATCCTGCGAATGTGCTCAATACTCCCGAAATAATAGAATAAAAGTGAATCCTAAAAGTGCACAAGATACTGATAACAGTGAATTAAAAGTGAATCCTATGAAACTATTTTTTTGCGTCCATACAAAGGCCTAACCACCGTAAGCAATCCTTCAAATCCGGTTTTGCGATAAAAATCACTCATAGTTTAGGCGAAATAGCCGAATACTCTGAAATATGGAATGATTGAATATCCTAAAACGAGGAATGACAGAATGTTCTAAAACACAGCATACCGGAATATGCCAAAACGTACAATGATTAAATATTCGAAGAATTAGAATGCCTAAGTTGAGGTATTCTGAAGGAGAGCAAGACTGATGGAACGATGAAATTTATTGTAACATTTGGTGTAGAGAAAGTATCTTGTGATCAGTCTCCTCAGACTATGGGTAAAAGTAGTAAAGGAATACGCTTCTAGAGAGCTCTGGTACCTTGTTCCTTCCGCCCCCTCCCCCCACCTCAATCCTAAAAAAATTTTCTAAAAGTTTGCTTCTATTTTCGTTAAATCGGACATATAGGTATCCGTCACTAAATCACATTATAAATACCACTATTGTTGGTGAATTTTCATATACATACATACATTTTTATGACCTAGGTTCTTTTAATGACAAATTTGAAACAGATCTGAAAGTTATTTCTTGAGAACCACCCATTAGAATTTCACGAAATTTGGCAGGAAAATACTTTAGGAAATAAATAACTGGAGTATTAAAGAAAAATTGATTTTAAACAAAGGAAATTCTAGAAAATTGAGTGAACCTTCAACAAGGGATAATTGAAGATCTCTGTTAAATTGTTAGCAAAATGGTGTTAAATTGTGAGTATCATTACAAGCTTGTTGCATGCAAGTTATAAAGAAAATCTAATGACTAGATTTTCTACAAATAAACAAAACGGATTTTAATTGCCTGTTTATATCTATTCACGTCGCCATGGCAACGGTACATACGTCAGCTTAACTATCAAAAACACAAAGTTTGTGTTGTTAACTTGCTTGCTGCCAGTTTTGGTGATCGAGAGATCAAGGGTTTTAGAGAAAATGGTGAAAGTAACAAAGGTATCAAAAACTGTGTACAGTCACCTTAACGCCGCGGATATGCCAACAGAGGTATAAAACGTGTTGAATCTGTTCGCTTGAGAAAGGGGATCTTCCATTGCTAGAGATGGTGGATCTTTTCTAGGTAAGCACGATTTAAGACTTCCCAGATGGGATTTGAATTTCCATTGCTGTTTTGAAGTTCGGTACGAAAATGTCCCATTTCAGCAAGTCGAATTTCAGACTTGACCTCCTGACGAAAGAACCGATAGGCATTCTAGTGAAGCCGGTCTTTTGTTTTAGTCGCGCTTTTGTGCCATTTATCTCGAGTTCTCGTGAGCTGTCGAATCTCATGTGTGGTCTTGATTTTATTTTAACACGCTTGATGGGTGCGTGAACGTTTAGTACATTTAAAAACAGAGAATTGAAAACATGAACTTGGTTATCTAAATCATCGAAAATGATAGCTATGTGGACTGGAGCGCTAGCCTAGTCATCAGTAAATCTAGCATGAGTATAATTCTTGTAGGTTCTTGTGGCGATGTATGAACAACGCGGTTTGGGCGCTTTTAACGTAAGTCCAAGCCAAAAAAAAATGGAGATTGCTAAACCCATTAGAAAAGAAAGTTTTGAAAAGGAGGAGAATTGAAATCATCAATCATCAGAAGAAATTGGAAATTGGATTATGAGAAAAACCTAATTGCACTAATAGAATATTTAGTCATCACACGTTTTAAAATATTCCGTCGTGCTGTGTTTCGAGTTTTCATTCAGTCTGCGCTTTAGAATTTCAGGGTATTCCGCCTTTCCTACATTCCATTATTGTCAAGATTGGGTTCCCCACAGTTCGCCTTCAAGCGAGCTTTCATGATAAGCTATTGAGCCGTACACTCCCGCGTGTTAGCTGTAAACCATCGCTTACCTCGAAAATGGCTTCTAATTCCCGTCTGGCTGTCCAAATTACTTTCAAAACCACTTAGAAAACATGTCGGATGACGTTTACTCATAAAAACCACTTCATTTGACTGCCTGACTACCTGATTACCTGATTCCCATTCTTGTTTTGATTTGCTTTTTCTTCATATACTCGACATCAAGTGTCTTACCTGAAAATCAACTAGTGATCGCTAAGTTTCCAAAACAAATTTCTGACCAAATTTGGTGCAAATTTGATGGAATGAAATCGCAAAATACCTAGTCGTCTTACCAGCATCTTAATTGATTTTAGGCAGCCATAATATATTAAAACCTTTGAAAAAAAGATCGTTTTTAAACTCAGGCTATAGGTTAATCAACAAGAACTAGACACGAGAAGAATACATGCAGGCGTGTGGTTTAGGTATGGTTGCCCCTTCAAATCGTTCAATTCTTGTCAAAAAAGAGAAAGACTATCATAAATTTTGACGTATCTTACGAAATGTATCTTTATCCTTCCACTAGCTCTGAGGGAACCTTGTCGTGGAAGAACATATGACGTGTGATTTACTTATTCATGAGGAACAGAACGACCCTTGGCTCCTAAATTAAATTGGGAGCCTTAATTTTTTTTCAACCCTTTTGGATCGCTAGAAGAGGGAGAGAAAGGGCAAGAAGTTAGGTGGGTAGATTACGACCGAAATAAACAATAATAATAATAATAATAAAAGCGGAAGGCAAGAAGAAAACACAGAACAATGATGTTTTCATTTATTATTCTAACTCAATAACTGTTTTTCTCATTTTCCCACTAATTAGTATGCAAATGACCTGAACCTTACCCGCAAGGTTACAGGGTACACTTTTTGTTGATGTAATAATTGTAAATCAAGGCTTTGTTCTCTGAAGTTTAAGCGAGTCTCTGATATCAAGGTTTGACATAATCCAAGACAAACAGAGGAACTAGGATCTTAAGGTTGGTCTACAAATTAAACGTTTTCTGTTTAAGTAAATTAGCCTTTTGATGGTATCGTAATTTTAAAGTTCTGGGTTTTCTTAATTTAGGAAATGGATATTTTATAGACAAAATTGTATCGAGTGTTCTAGCCATGCGAGAAATGAGACTTACGATTATGTATTTTCAAACTTTCTTGCATCGTTTCTTCGCTTTTAATAGGAAAACTAAACTATAAGTCACGAGCTACATGTAATGGTTACTTTGAAGGTGCATTTTACCTTATTTTTCATTAAAATGGAAACATTCTTAATGTCAACACTGGTTCCTTTTTATTGAATCAAATGGCAAAAAACAACAAGCAAATGACTTGATGCTTTGTCGTCGTTTTAAAGTGCAGTGTTTCCTGCTTTAAAACTGAAATGAGCTACTCTTGGAGGTTACTTGACAAAAATATTCAAAAACATTTCGCGGTTTATTCCAAAGCCCTAACATCCTCCAATGTCGTTCAAATCAAAAGAAAAATCTTTTGCCGCGCGCTAAATGTGGAAACTTTTTGGACGCCAAACCGTACTTTCATTGCGCAAAACAAAGAGGTAAAGGAGACCTTGCTAAGTATTAAGGTCGATTATTTTAAAAACAGCAATTAAATAGAAAACTAAATAGATATTTTGAGTCCTAGGTACTTTAAACTAAAACAGAAATTTACAAACAAAACTTTAAAATGTAGCAAGAGAAAAGAAGGAATGAACTTATCGAATACCGCGCATATTTGCCGGTGGGTTACTTTAGCAGCACTGGTTGCAACTTTAACCGTGATTTACGAATTAACCACTGCTTTCAAAAGTGAAATAAAACTAACAGCGAAAGCTGCTGCAAACGATCCATTTTCAACTTTTAATATTAGGACAAATACATTACGCACCATTTTTACATCAAAACAATCCAACCGAGCAATGAAAAATTATAACAACGTAAAAGGAAAACAAAAAACAAAAAACCTAAAGTGCCAACTAAGTGGTGTTTGGATCTTACACAAGATCTTTTACACAAAAAATATACCCGTAGTGTTACACTCTTCACGTCGTGAAAAAAAAAGACTCCATTGGATTAAACTCCATAGAAACGTGTTCCGAAAAGCATTATGTCCAGTCAACTGGGTCAAAGACAAGTCGGTGGAAGTAATGTCAACAGAAGTTTTGGGCATGAGTCCGAGTTTTTGCGTCACCTTTTCCGAGGTTTGGCTCTTTATCGCTAAGTTTCAGGCACAATTTCGGAAAAAATCATTAAGAACCAATTAGAGTATCTTATATGACATGTCTGGTGGTAGTAATTCTGGTGGTTTTGAGAGCATTTTAAAAAACAGCAATTTCTTTTATTTTTAGAAACAAGTGGCAAAGAACAAGTAGTACCTGTGCCGGAATATCATGTGATGAAAAGTAGGATGTGAAAAGCCATCATATCGACAAGAAACACTTACTAACACGACAGCGCCTTATCTTTGTCGAAAAATTCAAGTATAAATTTACTACTATTGGGAAACAAAATTTTGGAGAACTTAACTGATGAACTAAATGTAATTGATTTGAAATTGTTAAAAATGCATACGCTTTTTGGAACATTTTTTACAATTTGGTGTTTGTTGTCGCATAGTGGCTCATTGTTGAGAATAGTACAGTTATCATCGGTTTTGTAGACGGCACTTAGTCTGATAAGAAATATAAAACTTACGTGAAGCACCACATGCCGAAAAGACCCTTTCTATAAAGATCAGTTAATCACTTGCGGACGAACGACTAAGAGAAATAGGTGACTACTCCCTTGAGCAGACAACATCTTAAAGTCTTATTTCACTAGAAGGACAAAATCAATTTATTCGAAAAAGTGAACGTAGAACGAACCGAGAGAGCCAGTTTGTACTACTCCTTTCGTTTTGTAAACGTTTTTTTGGTGTTTGTTTTCTGGAATAGCTCTTTTTGTTTCTTTTTCATTGATAAACTTTTAATAATGTTAGGTTTTATACACCACAAATCGCTCGCACTGTTTCACATATAACTATTTAGATCTTTCGTGTTTCTTTTTGTAACTTTTTTCCTGCCTATCGACACGTCAATTTAAATCGATAACGTTGACTAAGTTGCAACAACAACAATAACAATCTTCATTTGTACTCCCTTACCTGTGTCAAGTTAAAAAACAATATTGAAAATAAATAGAGTACTGGCTGTCTGGAACAGCCATAGGGGCTAGCGGAGCCAGGCAGCCAGTAGACAAGAACATTAAATCAAAATAAATTAATGGTCAGCGAGATAGCACAAATACACACGTGAAAAGAAGAGAAAAGAATAGGAAAATGCTATCACTACGCTATTAGGGAAGTCTGAAATAATTAGATTAAAATATGAGTATAAAGCATTAATATAAGAAAAGCACACGCGTAGTAAATATGACAGCTAATAACATTATAAGATTATATACATATTTTATAAACTATAAAATAAGTTATATCAAGGCTTAGAAAGGTTGAGAGAATTTAACTAAAGAATAATTAAGCAGATAACTTGAGAAAAGACACAAATGCAATCTGAGATAATATGAATACATATATCTAATAATCATTAACAAGATCGCATTTAACTGATTTCTTTAATTTTGAAAGAGAAAAGGATTCAGAGTTTTCACTTATAGAGTTCCATACTTTAGGACCCTTTAGTCTTATTTTGAATATGCCATAATTTGTTCTTATTTTAGGTAAAGTGTAGAATATATTCAAAGAACTTCTGCTATTGTATTTGTGTCTTTTATTGACTTGTGTAAAGAAGGTATCAAAAACAGATGGTAGACGTCTGCTGTGAAATTTGTACATAAAGACTGCAACATTAAGAAAGTCAAGATCATGCAGCTTAACGATATCTAAACGCTTAAAAATTGGACTTGAATGCTCACGACGCAGTACGCCCCAGGAAAACGAACTGCTATCTGTTTGTAAGATAGGAGGTGAACCAATCTTTTGTCACTCCACGAATGCCATAGTAATCAATTTTTCCAATTAAGATGTTATGATTAACAGTATCAAAGGCTCTACTGAAATTAAAAAATATACCAGTAGAAAATTCATGGCAGTCAATTGCATGTTGTATCAAGTCTGCGATGCTTAGAATAGCATGATTAGTGGGGTGTCCCGCACGGAAACCAAACTGCTTGCAATAAAGTACTTTTTTCTTTTCCAAAAAGTCTAATATTCTCTTATGCATCAATTTTTCTAATAGTTTATTGAATATAGAGTAGAAATGGGACGATAATTGTTTAAAGTTGTTTGAGGGCCCTTTTTAAAAACAGGGGTAACTTTAGCTATTTTAAATTTATCTAGGACAATTGCAGTAGAAAAGGAGACATTAAACATAATTTCTAGAGGTTTGGATATAGGATGTTAATTAGCTTTTAGAATATTAACTTGGATGCAAAAGAGCCCAGTAGACTTGTTAGCTTTTAAGCCGGTAATTTTATTTTCGATTTCTATAGTTGTAAAGGGAAATAAAAAGAAATTATCGTGAGATGGAGCTGTGAGATACTAAAGGGCAGATTTATTTACACTAGGAATAATCTTTGTCAGATCATTTCTAGAATCGCATGATTGAATAAAATCTCGCATTCTGATTGGTTAACGAAGCGAGGTATTTAGCGTGAAATTGTGAGTTGAAAACGAGTCTAAGTGAAGTTGTTTCGAATCTACGTAAGCACAACAACTGTCGTCAAATAGTTACAAAGTTTAGTTACTAAGTCAATTTAAAATGTTTTCAAAACCATTGTCATCTTCTAAAGAGCAAAAACAAAAAAAGCGTTTTCAAAGTGAACCTGAGCCTGAGGTTTTTCCTTGTTTTGAACTGAACTTCAAATTCTTGGAGAGGCACGAAAAACCTCTTTCGCTCGCGACAACCCGAAAGCGAGAAAATCCTGTGAATACGGCCCAGAAAAAACAATCTCCGAGCTAACAGATCACGCCAACCCGGGTTCAAAATCCATCTACAGCCATAATCTTTTAGAAAAACAACAAAGGGTGTCAAGCAAGTTGGCTTGGTTTTCAGTCGTACCAGTACGACTGTCACAGCAGCCAACGCCAGCGACGGTCCACGCACTAAAGCTTTGCGAGAAATTT